GGGGGGGCACCTGTTATTGGTCAAGACAACTTCCTATATTTTGGCGGGGAATTCAATGAACCTGACCAACTTACCTATGAATGGCCCTCTCACGTAACAGAGATAATAAACGGGATTCCGGTAAATAGTACTTTTGACAGTCGTGTGAACACCGACATGACTACAGAATTTCTCGTCCAACTGGGCGACCCTGATGGTTGCCATGGCAATCGATAACCGATATTTGAGGTAAAAGACCTGGGAGAAGACATGTTGAAACCCGGGGATACCATCCAAGAAGACATTGTGAAGAAGACATCGTCAATACTTGAAAGGCTTCATTTATTGAGACGTAAAGAGTGGTGAAAGAGTATTTATCGAGACTTTGAGTGAGACCTCGCTAGAGACTTGAGGAAGCATCCGTCCTTCATGTTTATGACTTGGTGGGATAAAATTTCAGTTTATTTGAAGTTAGATCTAACAGACGAAAGATCGAGTCGGGGCATTTATTTACTTTTTTTTTTTTTCTTCTTTTCACGTGAAAAAAAATGTAATTTTCACATGATAATATATGATAATCTTTTATATCAGCTGCAAGTTTATCGGATTTTTTTTTTTTTTTTCAACATTAAATAAAACATTTGAGGGATTTTTGCTTTTTTTTTTAAAATTATCGGTCCTCTTTAAATGAAATTATCATGTATTACTAATGAATCACAAATGTAAACTTCGCGTGAACGGAAATAATGTTTGTTTGATTTACGAAGAGCATAAAACGCGCGTGGTGTGTCGCGTGAGCGTATCCATTATATGTTTTAGAACACAATAGTCAATTGATAATTATTTTTGGGAAAGAATGTACCATACAATGCCATTCAATGCCTTTATGCCGTACGCTCAACTTTTTTTTTTTCAAGAGCATACAAACAATTGTACACGGTATTTCTTGAGTTCATATGATGGCCCCATGACATGACACATAACAAAGAAAATTTGTTTGGCCGATAGTTATTGCTTGAAATCACGCGCTCAAACACGATGCAGTAGTCCGTTTCAAGATTTTAGTGGGGTAATATGACCGACCGATGTGTAACACATCAATTGTATATCATTGTGATTTAATTTCCCTCCCCTCGAAAAAAATTTTTTTTTTGAAATCGAAAAACTTTATTATTAACATTCGATAATTCTTATTGATAAATTTATTTTATTTAATCTAAATAAAAACTCCATTGCCAAAGAAAGGTATAGACAATGGTTATATGATTATACACAATGAAGTAAAATAAAAATACAACCAGAGGAAATCAATATAAACATGCGCTATTGTTACAATTGCAATATAGACTACTCCCTATGGTATAGGTAAATGTTATTATTGTATTATTGTATGATCGTCTCCATCATCTGCAAATTGTATTTTCCCTCACAAAGTCTTCGTGAAGTTGCGTCAAAGAACATTGCGTTCCGAAGTAGAATTCGACATAAGGAAAGCTATAGAGCTCGTTATTTTGAAGTTGATACTGAGGGACCACAATCAACTCACCCTGATAAAAAGGATAATTGCTCGGTCCGATTGAGGGCTGAGAGTAATCTTCATTTAATCCGTTGTCATCGAAGCCATCGAAATTGAGCTCACAATAAGGTTTCAAGCAAACATCTTCGCTTACATTGTCAGGACACGAGATAATATATGGTTTGACATTCTTCTCTTCCTTCTTCTCTTGCTTCTTCTTTTTCTTTCTTCTCTCCGATTTTTCATAGCTTTTGGCGTTCATGTTCACATATTCTAATTTTATCGATCTTCTCTTGGCCCCATACTCAAATTCGGGGTAACGTTTTCTATGACGTTCCCTTAATTCTAGAGAAATATTCTTGTATTCTTCCTTCTCACATTCACTCGATTCATTCCACATTTTTCTTGCCAAAAGTGTCAATTGTTTACCATCCATTTTGGCACCCTTTAACAAGAGACCAAGGGCTCTTCGAAAAACGATGTAGCTGTTCATCCATCTAGGTGGATTTTTTTGTTTTCCCTGTGTACATTTGGAATCAACCTCAAGCTCATCCACCTCCAGTGGGCAGGGGAAGAGCTTTGATCGTTCCACTTTTGCGATGAATTCTGTGTTAACGTCAGTGTCGGACATCTGTAGATGCTTGAAAGACCAAAGATAAAAGAAAAAGGCTTGCAATGTATATATGAAAGAAAAAGAATATGCAAATGTATATGTGAAAAGCAAGATGCAAATGTATATGTGAAAAAGAATCTGCGATTTAATGGTGAAATGCTTATTTTTCTGGAAAAGAGAATTGTTTAAATACATATATAGTGTTATGATCCTATTTATATTGGCGAATAGAGGGTAGTAGTGTGTTGAGCGGGAAGGCATATTTGTATATAAATGAATGCAATATATTTAAAAAATTTTTGGGCAACTATAAATGCGCTAGTGAATTGATTATACTATATGTGTATATATACGATCTCTTTTTCATATTTAATAATAATAATAATAATGATAATAATAATAATAATAAGAGTGCTAATTATATAGCGATAAATCAAAAAAAATTTTTTTTTTTTTTGCTTTTTTTTTTTTTATATACATATAATAATACCGTGCACATATACAGTATATTTGACTCATCAAGATTCGGAATATCATTTTTGCTATTTGGCTATTTGAGCAATTACACAATCAATTCTCCGGTCTCCGGACCCAAACTGACCCATACCCCAATTACGCATAATTTTTATTTTTATACATCAATTATACATACATAAAACATAAAACGGTAACAAACAGATAAAAAGTAAAGAAAAAAAAATTTTTTTTCTTTTTTTTTTTTTTTTTCTTACGCCATAATACAGCAATAAGCTGTAAATTGCGGACCGGTTTTTTTTTAAATTAGCTCTGCAAGAGAACGCGGAGTACAGTTATTCTGGCTCGCAACTTGATTATTAATCTAAAAAACCGGATCAATTTCCTACAGATAGGACCACCAATTTGAGTTCTTTGTTTTTATAAATTAAAAATAGTTAATAAATCCGTTATCTTAAGTGAAAATTGGTTTAATTAAAATCTAAATCTGAAAGCCCATTACCGTAGTTCATCGCGAATTTCTTCTTCCTCTACTATAAGAAATGATAATCGACATAATGAACTTAAAACCTTCAAATTCCTGGATAGAATTTAAATGAGCTCCGACACTAGCATTGATAAACACCCTTAAAATATCTGATCGTATACCGTTTTGAGATCGTTTAACAAGAAAATTTATATTCTACAGTCATAGGTTCCTGTAAAGCGGATATCATAAATAATTAGGTAAGGCAAAGAAACAAATAATTACATCATAGATAAACAGGGAAAAATTGATAAAACCTAAAGATGGCGACACGAAATTTACGATTTCTTTTTCTTTTCTCTCTTTTTTTTTAACCGGTGTATACAGTATACATAATTGGCTTCGCAACACATCCAAATAAATTTTTTCGAAGAATTATGTTAAACTTGTAAAAATCTCATCATTTATGTATTATATGGGCGTTATAAGATGAACGTTAAAAGGAAATATTTGATGAGTCATTTTTGGTCATAATATAAAAAAACATATCATTAGAATTCTTTTTTTCAGTTGCTGCTGGGTCAATGATTTCGTTAAGAAATTGATTATTAAAATCAAGTGTACAAGATATGCGGTGCATACATATTACTTTGATTTTTAACAAAAAATTTTCATGATAAAATCTTGAATCATCCATTTTTATTTTCCAATTCTTCCTTTTAAAAAATATTATTTAATTAATACATGTATTTATCAAATATTTGAACAAAACAGTATACTTTATATTCATAAATTAAAAAATTTAGAAATATCAAGCAAAATGATTTTTGTTTAAAGAAAAAAATTTTTTATTATTATATATCTAATCCATAAAGCATCGCATAAAATGTTTATTATTATTTTTGTTGTATTAAAATAAGAGAAATTTATTTTTTTTATGAATCGAATTTTCTATGTTTAAGTAATATAAAAATAAATATACTGTAAGTTTTATACGAAAATATTTTTTTAAAAAAAGATTTTGCGATCAAATTTAAAAATTAAGTAGAAATACGAATTTCATTAAAAATTTTATAAGCATATACAGTAAGTTTTAATTCAATAATTTTAAAAATGTTTTTTTTAAAAAAAAAAAAAAATACAAAAGTTTTATAAAATATACTATATCTATTTTAATTTTATATTAAAAATACAGTATGAATTTCATTTTTTTAAATTTTTAAAAAATATATACTGTAACTGTTTATATTTTTAATAAAAGATTTTTTTATTTTTAAGTTTAATAATAAATTCAAATAAAAAATTGGTATTAAATATATAAATAAAATTAATATTTTCTATTCAAAAGCAAAAAATCATGTTTATTAAAATTAATAAAACGCTTTTATTTTTATTTTCAATTTCATTATATATAACTTTAAAACTTGAATTATAAAGATTCAAATAACATAAAAATATAATTTTGAATTGATTTTTTTAAATTTAATATCTTATATATCTATATACACAAAAATATTTTTGAAAACCACTTTATTTTTTTAAAAAATCAATACAACATTTTTATCAAATTATATTATTATTAAAATACTAATAAAAAGATCCTTTCAAATACTTATTAAAAAAATATTGAAATTCTATTTATTTACTCTAATATGTTTTTAAATACCGTAATTAAAAAGTTTTGAAATTATCGTGTTGCTAATATCGTTTGTTTTAAAAAATCAATTTTTATTTTTTTAATCTTAGTGTATATTTTCTAGATAAATAAATTTTTCTTATTTGCATTAGTCTAAATGATGCCATAAAATTTTCGTATTTCCCCAATACCCTTATGAATTACACTTCACTTTTCCTACATATCACCCTTGTGAATACCATCCTCGTCTCATATTTTTCCATTTCTTGCTCAAAACATTCCTCTAGTAATTTCAAATAGTTCTCTTGTGATATCCCCATTAATTTTGATAACTCCTCAGCATATAAAACATAAAACAATTTACAATTTTCCCTAACCAATCCTCTAGCCTTCACCTCTTTCCTTACTACATCAACACTTTTACCCAAGAAATTGTCGTTCTTATGTTGTTTCCTTGTTTTTGTGCTATTATCTCCTCCAGCACCAATATTACTCGTATTTTCCACCTCGCATTTCCAAGTTCCCATACATGGATTTACCGAAAGCTCGTTAATGTCTTTCAGGCATGTATAAGGTGATAACCATTGTTTGAAAAGAGTTGGTGCTCTAGGGTCCACGCCGACATCACGTAATAATTGTCGTGTAGTACTGAAAAAACGTTCAATTAACGGGCCTCCATTTAGTTGAATGGTATCAAAATCGTAGAACTCTAGCCATCCGTCGGGTTTTAGAAGACGGACTAGTTCAGGGATCTGATTCAATGTGCGTATTCAAGAGGGTAAGAATTAAATGTGAAAGAGAACGAATGAAAAGCTGATGTAAGAGATGGGTTATTCTGATACCACAATGTTCTGCCATTGATCATTGGTGAAAGAATCATTCATGAACGAGATATGAATGTAATCAAACTCATTTGATGGTAACGTTAGCCCGTTCAGCATGTTGGCTTTAATGAAGTTAGTGTTGAAAGGTTTAATGTGGGTTGGGAATACAGGCGACATGTCCACTCCAAAGAACTTTGACTTCTTGTATTCGGTGGCCATCTCTAACAACCATATTCCTGCGCCACATCTTTCAAGTCCAAATTAAAAACTTAATTACTATTTCATGTTGTAATATTATACATTAATTTCATTTAATTTTCGTAGATACACACCCAACATCCAACACCTTACACCCGTCTATTAAAAATTCTTCCACGGGGGCCGAAATGTTACTCCCAAAAATATGTTTTCCACAGTAGTGTTGCTGTTGTTGTCGGTCAATTTCATCCAAATCTGAGGGAAGCCAATATGGAACTTCAGGCTCATTATGATATCGCCTGCCGTTGACGTATCGAAAATCCGGTGGTTTCGTTTTTTCGGCTTTTTTTCTTGACGATTTATTATTGCACCTTGTGTTTTCGGTGTGTATCATCGACTGAGAGGTTGAAGAATTCGTAAAAAAATTTTTTAAAGATTTTAAGACATTCTTGTTGAATGGTGCGTCTGTGAAAAAACATTTATCCTTCATTTACACTAATGAAAATATTAAAAGAATGATAATTATAGTTCAGAGAGAATTATAATATTGAATATGGTTACGTTATGTGTGTTGATTATGGAAAACTTTTTAATTCCCTGGTGCTTTTATAAATTATCTGACAATTATAAATTGTATGATGTGAAATCCGAATGTAGATTCCACTAGAAGAACGGTAACTTTATACGGTCATTTAATAAACTGTTTTCTTTTTAAATCGTTTGAATTTAAGATTAGATTGATCAGAGGAAGGGTACGACACTATTTAAAACTTTCCGAAGATCGCGTAAAAAAAAAACTGACGAGCACATTTTCATTTCGATCCCAAACGAACATCTTCACCTTTCTGGACGATTACTAGAAAAATCAACTGTCATACTATCTTGAAAAACGGAAACGATTCTATAAAGAAACGTGGACCTGATTCGCTTATCTTATTAAATCCGTGCAACCTAAACAAAACGAAAAACATTTCCGAAAACTCTTTATTTACGAGCATGGTCAAGGAAGTCCCGTATCTATGCAGAGTATTATTTATTTATTTATTTGTTATTTTTGGCTTGTTTCTTACCGTTACTCTAACTAATCCCGGAAGAACCTTTGTAGTATAAAATCAGACCCATTTGCGAGCTAGTATGTCCTTACCGCATACAATGTGTAGTGTGCGATTCTTGGTGGTGCACAGACACTGCTGTTGTAAAAATGCGGTATGTGCGAGTGTTTTTTGGTTAGACTTCCCACGGGTTATACAGTCAAATAAATGAATTTTTTATTTCCTCCAATTAGATTGTTCTCTAGCATCTCAATCAATTGATTAGACCGGTTAGAAATTTGTTGAGAATTCATTGTTTATTATGTTTAATATGAAAAAAATGTAAAGGTAATGCTCGAGCGACCCTTCCTTATCAATAGTAAATTTTTGAAGAAATGTATCTTGCTGATTCGTTCATCGAAATTGCAATTCATTTTGTAATTTCCAACTAATTAAATTTTTATCTCCGATCCACCGATCCATTGAGCGAGACTTGAGAGCACCCTTAATTGAACCAAGAATTTCTCAAAAAAATTTTTAATAAAAATAATAATGACATATACTGGGTAAATATATTCAAAAATTAGAACACTTATCAGCAAGTATAAAATTCTTTCGATGTAAATATAATGTTAAAAAAGAGAAGTGGTTATACATGTACTGTATGTAAAAATGAAATGCAAAAGAAATACAATATATCAAGCATATTAGAATATCATGTGTAAAAATATATATATCCAATTTTTGCAAGAAGAAATTTTTTTTCTTAAAATATAAGATTTGAATTTCAAAGTTAAGGTGTAAAAAGGAAAATATATAATCTATATTATTATATAAATTAAATAAAAAAATTATATTTATTTACAAAAAAAAAAAGAAATTTAAAAATTTAAAAAAACTTTTCTTAATTATATTTGTTTTATTTAAAAATTTTAATTTATAGTAATTTTAATTAAAGAAAAATGATTTATATTCTTTATTGTAAATAAGTCTTAGTATACGAACCTAAAAATATCAAAAGCAATTAATATAATAGAATAAAATTTTTAATTAAAGCCTACTTAAGTTGAAAATCTTGTTTATTTTTTAATTATATAAAGAAAGATCTATAATATACAGTATATGTAATATAAATAATTTGCTATTAATTCAATTTTCAAAATTCTCAAAAAATTATTTTTTGATATTAAGATGTGACATTTCTTATGATTTTTATTAATAGAGTAAAATGAAATGTTACATAATCAATAGTGAAATATGAAATATATGGCTATACATATTGGTTTATTACCTATTATAGTAAATATATTTTCAAAAAATCTTGAACAGAAAAAAAAAATAAATTATCTACTAAGAAAAATAAAAAATAAAAACATTTGGGACAAGATTACCAATTTTATAAAAAAAATAGTGAAAAGAAGATATGTTAAAAAAATATTGAAACTTTTATTAAATGTGGTTTTTGAATATAAAATAAGTGGTTTGATTGAATAATAGTATCTTGCAAGTTACATATAACTTGATTGGTTTGATTAAATAATTTTTGTGACATATTATTGATATGTAATATGACTGTATTATAGTATTATAATAGGATAATTGAAATAGATTCCAAATGTTTGTTGTTTTATTGTAATGGATTATTATATATTGTGATTACTAAAACTTGTACAGAGTACTGATCATACATTTGTTCAATCTATAAAGAGTATCCATATTATTGTGGATACTTTTTATTATACAATAAAAAATTTTTTAATAAAACAAATTAAATTTATTATAACAAAATTAAATTTATATACTATAAAGCATATTATATTTAAATTTCAAATAATTAAAATGATTTACTCAAAATCTATAATAAAAAACTTTAAAAACATAAATTATTGTTAAATCAAAAATCAAAAAACTATAACTATGTAATTAATTAATTATTTATTTATTTAATTATTTATCAATTTATTTTTATTTTTTATTTAATATAAATATAAATAAAAATGTATTAATTTGTATTATAATTTTTTAAATCTTTTTGAATAAAAAAAAATCACATTTTTATCCTTTTTTAGCTAAAAAAACAAAAATCAAATTTAATAAGTAGTAAAAAAAATTTGATTATTGTACAAAAAGGAGCTATTATCTATGATTACCTTAGAGATGACTCATATTGTGCTATCGCTATTAATGTTGACTGTAAAAAGTTTTTTGTAGAAAATATTATAGGTAAATATCATAAGACAAGAACCACTAAACCGCAAAAATAACATCTTGGACATCCGCTGCTTTTTATCACTTCTGATCATTCTACCTTTAAAACTTTTGTGACTAATGGAAACTATTGTTTAAATGCTACCCAAGTTGCCACTACTTTTACTGCTTAAACCAAACTTTATATATCAAAAAACACTATCCGTCACACCTTAAAAAAAGAAAATTTAAGGTCTTGCATTGCATGTCTAAAACTACTAATCTCTATTATTAATGTATTGAACAGGCTTATTTAATGTTTTGCTCGCAGGGACCGGACTGCTTGATACTTTAGATATATTCTTTGGTTAGATAAAACATCTATTTGGCTTTTTCAACAAGTTTTTTTCCAGATTTGGTATAAACCACATAAGAAATGGGATGCTGAATGCCTAAGCTATACCATTAAACGAAACTCTAGCTATATATTCTGGAGCTACTTCTTTTGATACAGAACTGGCTCTCTAGTTCCATTAATTAATAATGTTACTAGGCTTTATATATTGGGATTTTGCGCAAATATGCCATATTCACCTTAAAAAAATATCTGAAAAATACGGATTGTGGTTGTCTTTTATTTCAACAAGACAACACAAGACCCCATGTTTCGAAAATTACCATTACATTTTTTGAAGATCACAAGATCAGAGTATTAGACTGGCCTGCCTAGAGTCCTGATTTAAATCCTATCAAAAATCTCTAGCATGAGGTCAAGATATCTGTATATTGCAAATCAAAGTCTAGTAACCTTGCTGATCTCGAAATTCTTGTTAAACAAGTCTGGAAAGACATTTCATTAGAAATTTGCTACCAATTAGTGGATAGTATACCAGATCATATTGCAGCTTGCATTGCTGCTAACAGAGACTCTACAAAGTACTAAGACTTAATATTAGCTTGAATTTTTTTAAAAAATATATATGTATATATATACTGTATATATATTAGCTTTGAGTTTTTTTTTTTAAAAAAAATTTTTATTCGATTTGTAATTTCAGTTTGATCGTAATTTGTAACACAAAGGTTTTTTGATTATAAATTCCAAATGAATCATTACAATCACATAAAATTTAAATATAATATACTTTAACATATAAAAATATTTACTTAGTATAATAAAAAATTTTTTTGTTTATTGCATTTGTTTTGTTAAAAATTTTTCTTTTATAGTAATTTTAAATAAGAAAAAATGTTTTATACTCTTTATCACAAGTAAGCCCCAGCTCAAGAACTCAAGAACCTTCAAGACAACTGGTACAGTGGGATAAGACCTCTGGTCGAAATCTATTCATGTTTGAAAATTTTGCTTATCCTTTAATTACATAAGGAAAGGCCTATGGCAGTTCTTTTTTCTTCAGTTCTCTTGCATCCCTTCTTATCCTTATTATATCATAAAAACCATCTACATTATTATCATCATACTTGCTAAATCATACACTTTCCAAAATATACACTTAAATAGAGTTAGTGGGTTTACTGTTTGTTTCAAGTTAACTTTCACATACAATATTTTTGCAATAATATTTACTGTGCCACTTTCAATCTCAAAAAATTTTCACTCAAAAAATTGAAACCAGTTTGCCTCTTCCAGATAATTAGTGCCCTCCAATCATCCAATCAGATTTCACATAAAAATCAAAACAAAAACTGTGCCAGCTCAAACCGGTTTTGTGCCACAATAACAACTTTAACAACAAACAACATCACATGTACTCTACTATCTATGGTAATCAAAGAGCCAGAGAAATGGGACAATAAGCCTATCTGGAGGTTTTCTTGAGAAAATAATTGGTTTTCTACTTATAGATCTTATAGTTTATTTGACAAAGTTTTAGTTTTAATTAGTTTTAATTTTTTTTTTTCAATTTCTTTTATTCAAAAAAAAAATTTCACCAAACAACTTTTCAAATAGATAAGTATAGCCGCTACTCCCATATTTGATATTTTAATATTGCTTTTGAAATTTTTTATGATATTAGTTAATATGGTACAAGTAGGCAAGCTAGCATTTAATTTGTTGTATGCAATGCATCCAAGAGATATTATTTCTTTTACAATATATGTCTTTATATACACAAATCAAATAAAAAAATAATGTTTATTTACTGAAATAACC